TTTGACTACACTCGTTCACTTCACAGCGCTGTTAGATGAGAATGGATGGAAATGAAGTTTTGTACAATCAAATGTGTAATTAACGATAAAAATACAAAAAATAAAATAAAATAAATTTAAATAAAAATTGGAAGGTAAAAACGTTTGGCACAAAAAATAATGGAAGATAAGGACATTATAAGGAGTGTTTGAGTCATATTTTTCTCAAAAAATATATTTTGAAATAGCGTTACGATGGAAAATGTGTGAATAAGAAAATTTTTGGATTGACATGTAATATTATTTTATTAAAAAATATATGTCTGAAATGATCTCAAATCACTGTCCAAAAATATATTTTAATGGAAAAAATGAGTCAAACAAGAGCTACGTGCTTATTAGTAATTACCCAAAATTAAAAAATGATGTCAATTGGCGGCTCAATAGATAGAAAATTTCCCACGTTTCAACGTCGAAGTCGCGTTGACAACATTACTGTTGGTAGGCGCGTTGGCTAATTTTTTTTTATCACGAATAACTAATTCCCCATATTACGCCGTATACAACAAACGGGCTCAATATATATATGTAACAGTGTAACCCACATTTTGACTGCGCATTGAATTATGATTACGCACATTCGAAATTCTTTCAGTTGTGCTGGAGGCGCAATTTTGAATCCCAGTTTTAGTATCGAAGCTATTCGGAATCGTTTGATGGACTTCTAGCATTTGGGTGAACAAGAAGAAGAAGAAGTCCTTCAGAAAAGGTGAGTATTTTTTCTCTTGTAATTACTTCTGGTTTTTGTTTTTATGGTTCTCATTATAGAAAAGTTGAATTTTTATTTTAATTTTGCGTGTGTATAATGGCGGTGATGGAATGATTGTGTTTATATATTAGTTGCAAATTATGATTTATTGTCTTGAATGATGGCTTTGAATTGGACTTGTCACTGTTTATACTATTCCTATTATCAATTAAGATTATTATGTCTCCTGCAATGATGATTTGTACCAAAACTTAATTTTTTTTTAAATTTTTTATTTTATTTTTTGTTTTGCTCGAGGCTGATTTGGTTTTAAATTTTGGGAATGTAGTTTTCTTCCTAGTTTTCTGTAATTTTAATTGATGGATGGAGGGATCATTTTCTCAACTTCCAATTTCGAAGTCTGTTAATTGAGAAGGAAGATTCTGAAATTTATATTTCTTTTCTGGTTTGCTAAATTGCCTCCTAAATTGATTAGAAACTTAAGATGATGTTTCTTTCTTCTGTTTGATGCTCTTTTTATATGTAGCGTTTTTTGTATAGACTGTTATTCAAGCTATTACATATTCAAGAGCGAGAGAGTAGGAAGACTAAGTCATTGCGTCTGATATTGATGTCCTAAGAAACATTAGGTAAATTGCTGTTTCATATGCTACAGATCATGCTTTGTAACCTTTCTCTTGGGATAAATTTTCTTGGACTTGTTTTGTCAAGATTGTCAGGCACAATTTAGTTGTCAACATAACCAGTTATTGTGGGCATCTGGCAATTGAAATATGTAATAATGCTGTGTTATTCCTTTAATAGTATTGATGCATTCTTGTTTTGTTTGTGCAGTGCCTAAGTTTTTAGCAGTAGATTAATCTAGCTGAAGGATTTTCCGAAGTGATGGAAACTAAACAGCACAAAGATAGTGTAATTGCAAGACTGATGGGTCTTGATGACGAGCCACCTCAGCAGACCATCCATAAAAGACAAAGAGTGCTCTCAGAGAATTATCTTCGCAGAAGTGCTTCCATAGGAATACGAGAGGGAAGCTCATTCCGTCTTGTTAAGGATGTTTTTGATGAGCATGTATTAAAGAAGGATGAACATAATATAATCCCAGTTCTTGATAAAGAGGCAAGTTACAGTGCAATCAAGACACAAATGGGTATGGGGAGGAAGAAAAATGCAGGTGCCACAATTTTAAAGTCAATCCCTGGACACAGCTACAATTACGAAGGAATATTCAACAAGAAACGCAAGCAGCATGCTCGAGGAAATGTCTTGAGATCTCTCCAGAAACTTGAGAAAGATTCTTATACAGGTCACTTCAAAGAGGTTGGTTTTGATCCCATAAACAAATTAAAATCTCGGTTGGAAAGGGTTGATCGGCCTCATCTTTTCTCAACAAGTATTGTTATGTTGGATCCAAATTCCAAGATGGAAAAAAGAAAATCTATACATATTATGTCTGATCTACTTCCCAGATCAGGAGATAGAGACCATGATGAGTCCTTAGAACCAGATAGAGAACTCCTGAAAGAGTTTACATATAAGGATCAAGCAGTGAATGACATGGACTCTTCTACACATAGTTATAGTGATTGTAAGGAAATCAAGAGCAGAATTTCCCTACAAGGAAGCAGTTGTAGGGAGGCATCAAGACCACAATTTTCAGGTGAGAACTACCTCGTGAATGAGAGGGAGTCTTTGGTGGCTTCTTGTCCTGGTTTGTTTAACTGTGAAGATCAAAAGCATGCTCTGTACCCTTCTTCGACTGGGTCATCTTTAGCCAAGGAAGTCTATAAGCAAATTTTTGAACGGCAGAAGAGGACCAAAAAGGTGCAAGCAATTGAGTCTGCTGGGAGGGCCCAAAATCTTGGTGAAATGCTTGTTATGGCTGATTGGGAATTGACACTCAGAAATATGAACCTAGAATTTGATAGTCTGCAGGGTAAGAACTTAGATTCAGGCTTTGCTTCGGGAATTTGCAGTAAAGATGGTTGGAAGAATCAGGATATCATATGCTCACCAACTTCTAAAGTTGAAGTCTCATGTGAAACCTTTTTAAAGTGCTGGCATTTGAGGCAAGAAGAAGAATCTTATCTGAAAGATAATAAGTTGAGGAATCAAAAGATTTTCCAGAATGATGATTTGGATTATAGAGGCTCAAATGGTAGTGAAAAATTCCAGTCGTGTCCAGATACTTCAAAGAATATATGCAACATATTACGAAGTCCTACTAGTTTTCAATCTTCTAGGTATCGTGTTTCCCGGTTAGATTCAGAAAATAATGACGCTGCAGCCCACGAGAAAGTTACCTTGATGATTCAGGATGAATGGGCAAATGGACCAAATATGAATGATGGGTCTAGAGATAATCAGCATGATTCCAAAATTTCAAACTCAACTATCAGTAATCTTGCCTCTCAAAGCACGGTTGATAAATTGGTCAATGCAGAGGCAGAGAACATAGAGATTTCTACTAGTCATAGGCAACAGAAGTCTGAACCTAATCCTGGCATATTGTCAATCAAAGATAGACATTCTTCTTCTCATGTCATGGAAACATTCACTGGACGGTTTTGCTCTCATTCTCCTTCTCATGATTGGGAAGCATTGAATGGACAGGTTTGTTCTCTTTTTCCTCCAGATCTTGAATCATCTAAATGTTCTTTCCCAGTAAGTTGATTTACACAAAGCTTACCCTTCCAGTCTTTATCTATCTCATGGTGTCATTTTCACGTGTGAGACTAACTTATATTTTGCAGTGTTGTCTTTGGTCGTGATAAATAATGGTTAGTATCCCACCTTTTTAGTATCTTCAAAAGTTAAGGCTGCCTTTCAAAATAGTATGAATATTCTCTCAAATGTGGTAGATGAAGGCAAAAGTACTGAGAGAACATACTGCCAGAGAG